ACCTCCTTCGACTACCCAAGCATCAAGGGACCCACACACCCACATCTCTCCATCCCCTTTAAAACCAATGTATACCCCCCTCCTCCCCCCCCCACCGGCCGGTCGTGAGAATCTTCCTTGGGGAGAACTGATTACAATTTTCTATTTCCCAAGATTCCACATCTACATACTTCTACGGTTCTACCCTTTTGAATGAGCCAAGCCTGAAAACGCCGCCCAGTACAACGATTAAACAGTACTTTGTTTTCGAATGAACCCAGCATAGAACCCGACCCGCTTCATTGGTACAAACGATGAACAACCTCTAAACCCACTGTACCAACGAGCCTACATTTTTTTGGGGGGTGGACGTCATTACGATTTTCTACTTTCGAAGATCCCAAGTTTACACACTTCTACCCTTTCAAATGAACCAAGCCTAAAAACACAACCAAGTACATTTACACGAACATCAATGCATCTAAAATGTACACATCTCTTGAATGCCTAACACGGTAACACCTAGTCGGTGTCACAAAAGTTGCCCTACGATCAACAACCTCTAAACCCACTGTACCAATCAGCCTAATGAGATATGTCCGAAGATTCCCCCCTCCATACACCTCCTACTCAGGCATATTCATAAAACCATCATAACCCTTTAAAGATACCCCACCTCCTCTAACTACCTGAACGTCGGGGGACTGAAACACCTCCGAGCGGTTACCCCACCTCCTCTAACTACCTGAACGTCGGGGGACTGAAACACCTCCGAGCGGTTACCGTCAACCTAACCCCCCCCCCAAAAACACACACACACACACACACACATATCAACTAACCCAACAAAAAAGACAAAAAAACAGAAATCCCCCCCACCTTCCTACAATTGCAAAAACTCAGCCCAAAACCCGACCGGGTTCATTCACTCAAACATAACACCATCTGAAACTCGCACTCCCATCTCTCAATCTCTGACATGTGCTCCATGTCAGAAAGATTTACGATTTTGTTTTTTGAGAACTCATTATGATTTTGGATTTCCTAAGATCCCCGTTTACACACTTCTTCCATTTCGACCCAAGCACAGAAACCCAACCCCATTCATTTACACAAACAACACTACATCTGAAACGCACACGAGATCTTCACAATCCCTGACAGGTACTTGGTGTCAGAAATCATTTCGATTTTCGTTTTACTGAAATCAGCCATTACACACTTCTTCATTTTTGAATGAACCCAGCTTAAAATGCGACCATGTTCATTGCCCAGGTTCATTGCCACAAAAGTTGCTGTAGGACTAACAACCCGTTCACACACTTCCATTTCGAATGGATCAAGGCTAAAAACGCAACCCTGTTCATTTACACAAACAATACTACATCTATATATATCGTCACAAACAGAACTGCCCGGTAAAACCGTAGGCAGAGAGAGAGAAGAGGACAACAAACGAGGGGCTGTGACAAACTGTTTC